CGATATCCGTTCGAAAATGGCTCCAGTCCATTGATACACTTACCTGAGGAGGGTTCGTCAATTAAACGTGCCAAACTCTGTAATTCTCACATATATATTTCTTTACATTCATACGTGCGTATGTATATTCGTGTTTATATTTCGCGCTTACGTTTCCATATTTATAATCGTATTTTTTTTTATATCTCTAAAATATATTAATTATGTACACGTTTTATACAAAAATGTTCTCGCGCCTTTATACATAACGCTACACCGTAGATGTCGTTTCGGCCTACGTACATTCGACGACGACGCAACTCGTGTTCCATTATAATACAATTCTTCTCAGCTTTCGCGAAGAATCGCGTGCCTCGATCGATCCTTCCGACCTTTGCTTTCGTCCTTGCGATCGAGACGCGACCTTTCGATCTCTCGCCCTCTAACTGTCCTGTGTACTGTACGCTATTCGCTGTTTCTCGACGAGTTTTAACGTGTGGTGTGTGACGTGTCTGCGCGCGCGCTTAAAAATATCAGAAATATCCCATATACCCCTAAGTGGTGATCTCTAAGTAACTAGCTCGATTAAATTCCGCTGGTTTCGACTGCGGTCGTTTGGCATCTCTGTTCCGCCGCAACCTCTGTACAACGCGTCCAGACCTCCGACTATCGTACAGTATTTATAGAGAGAGTAAAAAAGCACCGTGTTGAAAAATCGGATTCGACAATTGTTCGACGTACACACGTATATATCACATATCGCGCTCGCCGACGTTCCTCCGCGGTCGTCTCGACTCCCGACCGCTCGCGACCACCCACCGATCGAACATTCGCGGAAGAAAAATATATTTGTTCGGTTTCGCCTGGTCGCAACTCCCTCTGCCCTTCCGGAGAACGGAAACGATTCGTCGGCGAAAAAAAAGCGTTCCAATCAGGAGAGTCTCGCCAGACACGAAACACTCGCCGGAAATCTGTCACGGAAACGCTTTCCAAACGAACGTAAACGGATCGACGCCAACGACGAAAGAAACTTAAGTGTAAGCACGTGGGGGATAAAACGGACTCTGGAAGATTTTCGCGAGCGAAACGGGGAGGAAGGACAGGGAGAGAAAAAAGGAAAGAGGCGAGGAGCGCGAACAACGTCGAAACGTCGAAACGTCGAAACGTCGAAACGAATGACTAAGGGTTTCGGCATGACTCGACTAACGGCAATTACTCGACGCAAAGATCGATGCGAGATACCGAGGATCTACCAGATCCCCCGCCGTCGATTACAAATGCTAATTTATGATTTCTTCGCGCCGCGCTAGCCTCTCTTCTTTTTCCCTTCCACCCTTTCTCCCCCAACTTTCCCGATTCCGACACTGGAATCCGAGAGGAGAGAGGGGAAACTCTGTTCTTATCTCCGATCGATCCTGCACTATCTGACGCGCCCTCCGTTCGAAAAGAGGAGAAAGTTCTGTTCTCTCCGTCCAGGACGACGGTTCGGCTGGAACGCAAGCAAGGCAGGCCAAGGGTATTACGCGGAAGCTAGCTGTCGCCAGACAGAATGTCACATCGTGGACATGTACGGCCAGTTGAAGCTGCTACCGCTGAGCAGCATGTCCCTGATCAGCGTCTCGATCGGCGTCTTCCCGACCAGTCGGACGAAGAACAGCTGCTCGATCACCTGCGACGACACAGTTCTCAGCGAGGGTAATCTCAGCAGCAGCTTGCCGAATCTCGTCGGCTGATTCGGGTACTGGGTCCTGCAGTACTCTTCGAGGGCGCACTGAGACTTCTCCTGCAGGGACTCGATGTGCGCCACGTCCGACAATCCACACGCGTCTGAAACAGATAGAGATAGAGATAGAGAGAGAGAGAGAGAGAGCCCCGAGTTGGCCGTGCGCGCGAAACCCAGCCTCGGGCGAGCAGACACGCAGTCGAATGAGACCAGCCGGGATTCGTTCCGTTGGAATGCGTGCCAACTAGCGGAGAGACGTAGAGCCCGTGCGAGCGTCGGACTAATCACGCGGCGACGGTGTCCCTTGATTCCACCCTTCCGCGCGAAACCTACCGCGCTTTACGCGCCACCATTGTTTCGTTTCCCTTCCTCGAAAATCCCCCGGCGTCCCCCTTCTCCCTTCTCCCATCTACTCCTTTTTCGTTTAAACGAGCGAAACGAGCAAACTTGTTTCGTTCCGCACCTTCCCTCTCTGATATCCTCCGATGGCCCATTTTCTTCCACCTTTCCAACAACTGACACGCGACGGCACCGGAGGCCTCTCCGGGCATGCAAATCGCATTATCTCCATACGTACGCGTAATGGCCCATTACGCGCACGTGGCGACCGCGAAGGAATCGAACGGATTTCGTCCCCGCTTGGCTCGATTAAACAGTCCAACGCGCGCAAGGAATCCGCCAACGCGCGCTCAATAAACAAACGGTCGGATTGGCTCTCCGATGTCGTCAGCGGCAATTCACCGCATCAATTGGAATAATGCCGTTGAGTGGCGTCTCCGCGCCTCCACCCTTCCCCCGCCTTCCCCTTCGCCGCTCGATCACGATTTCTCCTACCCTGCGCAAGCGTTAACCGGTTAAATGCCCTGGCGCCTCGTTGGCCAGCCTCGCCGTAAATTAACCGATTTTAAACTCCAAAGACTACCCATCTCGTTGTCCGCCGTCTCCTGGACGGAGGTGAGCGGATAGATTGGAAAATTTCTTGTTGGCGCGTAGGTAGGCAGAAAAACGGCAGCCGGTAATTGCTCGATTTCGAAGGGGATCGACGTACTTTATTTAGGACGACGCGACGGTAAAACGGGGTTCGGTTCGCTTCAACTCTGTAGTACATAGAAGAGGTGTCGGAGACGCGGTTCGGGAATGGAGTGGTCGGGAAGGAGAGAAAGAAGATGGCAGAGATTCTTTCATGCCCTTCGGAAACGTCATATAGCTGTCGGGTGCCGCGGAGGCAATATTTCACGCCGGTAGGCCCGCCTGTCCCCCCCTCGTTCCTACACTTTTCAAGGAGTTTTTACGGAGTCTCTCGATCTTTAATCACAGCTCGACCTTCCATTGTCAGTGACGTCACCTCCGACTCGGAAAGGGTGTTCGGGGGATGCTTTGTGTCGAGCTGCGCCGATCCCTCTCCGCGTCATTTGTCTCTGGGTGCCTTATTTGTACGCGCATACATTCGAACGCTGGCTGCACACCTCTCTGTGTGCAGACGACGCGCGTCGCCGGTGAAACGAAGACGAAAGGGAAACTTTTCGCACGCTCGTCTAGGATAGGATCTTACACCGCGCGTTACGTTCGACGGGGGATCTCCGAGACGTTCCCCCGCTCGCAAGAAGAATCGCTTCGCTGATTCGCAAAATCGGGGGATTAGCGCGAGAACGAGCCACGTAAGCCGAACGCAACGCAGAGACCGGTCGGGAACCCCTATCGATCGTGTCTCGAAACGAACTTTTATAAATATTCTCCGTCGAGTTTTCGCCGTCGGAGTAGGCGAGCCTGGTAGCGACGGCGTTCTCTCGTTCCACCTTCTGCTAAATCCGTCGTTATTATCGTGCGAGACGTCGCGAGTTACGCAGCTGTTGGAGGCAATCTCGTCGGGACGAATCGTTCGCCCTCGCGACGGTAATTACCAGTTTCATGTCCGCGATGGCGCCTTCAACTTCCTTCGGTGGACGTCGCGCGACCTAACGGCCGTCGCGTCGCGAAAACCTTCAGCCTGTAGAGGCTCTACCGGCGAAATTGCCCTCGTTCGAGGAGCATACAATACGAGGAGAGAGAGCGAGCGTGATGCAGAGATACACGCGGAGCGAACGGGGGCGCGAGCAACGATTATCATAACAAGGCTCGTATTTGGAGACAAGATGCCTCGACCCTATCGGCGGTACGCATCGGGCCGGCGCGACGCGACACGCATTTAATCGACGTACGTGCCTCCTAGCTGCTACTTAGACCGGTGCACGTATAAGCGTACCGTTTACGATCTATATTGTCATGTTAACGACTCCGATGCCGATCCCATTAGGCCGTTCGGGTTACGAGGAGGACCTTTCGACCCCTCTCGCCACCGACCAACAACAGACCTCCTCCCCTCTCCTATTCTTTTCACTCGCACCTCCTAGAGACGCACATTTCCTAAACAGATATCGATAAAAGTATAGAGAAACTAATTGAGCGAATTTAGCAAGTTGTAAAAGTTGGAGGAAAGCACGTGCACGGGAGTAGAGAGGAGAGAAGTATAGGAAGAGAAGCCGCGAACCCTCTCAGACGGATTATGACACGCGGAAAGTTCACGACCTTTTGTCTGGCCTTACCCTCTGGCGATGGGCGAGAACACCGGGGGTAATCCTCTAACCGGGCCGTTATGCCGTTGTTGACATTTAGCCCCCGCGGCTGCTCTCGAAACCGGTCCATGGTGTTACGCGGTGTGCAAGCACGCCACCACCGGCAGAAACCCACGGATCGTCGCTCTGGGTAGAAGAGAGACGCTCCGAAACGGGACCTCGACCCATCCGTCGTCCTCTATTCTTTCCGTTTCGCGGGAACCGACCGAGAAAAAACGCAGAAACGGCAGGGGGGGACAGGAACAGGAAGAGGAAGAGAAAGGAGAGGAGGTGTGGCACGGAGGGGAAAAAGTTGACCTTCGGCGTGTACCTGCCTCGATCTACCTGCGAAGAGGAGGGGGACCACCACCGGTTCTGATAGACGAGCCGGGGATAGGTGGCGATGTTCAGACGGGTTAAACAAAAGTGACCGAGAACGGTGACAGAGAAGAGCAGAACGCGTGTAACGTTTTGGTCCTCCAAGGACGAAAGACCACCCATCCAGCTTTTCTCTCGTTCGTTGCCCTTTCCTCCTTTCCTCGATTTCCGTCGCTCGACGAAACGCCGCGAGGATTACGCGGGTACGCCTAATCGCGCGACCGTGCCCGAGTTTCGTTGCCTCTGTCGCGGCGCGATCGAACCGTGGAAAAAGGAGCGAGAGGGTGAGAAAGTGTAGGGTGGCTACACTTCCACCGGCAACGTATCGATAAATTCACTGGCCACTGTAAACAATGCGGCAACAATGTCAATTATGCGAACGCCGATCGCGCGGCACCCGCGGTAATTAATCGAATACGAGGGACCGCGACTTTGCGCCGTAATTAATTGCCGTGGCGCGCCACGCCGCGCCACGCCGCGTATTCCTCCTCCCTTTCCATCGATCGCCCGAGAAAATCGATTTCCACCTATCAGATCTGAAGTAAGAAGAGACTGTTGTCGGAGCGGAAGGCGGAATTTGGGAGAGAGACGCGTCTACTAGATCGACACGGTGGCTTACGGCGTAGAGTGTGCGAGGCGGTGGGCTCGCGATCGCGTGGGCGCGTAATATATTCTTGGGATAGACAATGTGCCGAGCACGTGGGCTATAGAAGCCAAGTCGACCGGACCCGGGGCCCCATAATGAAGCGTTGACGCGAGCATAAAACGAGCACCGCTCGAGACAATGGAGTGATTGAGCGCGGGTAACGCCAAAGGGTTGCCCGCCGTCAACCCCGGGGTGAAAATGTCAGTAACCAAATGTCAGGCCTCGCCTCCAGCGCGCTCTACAACCATTCTCGTTCCCGCGCGACCTCACCCCCCCTCTCCCGCGCCTTTTTCTCTCCGCTTTCCTCCTCGTCAGCGTTTCTTTTCCGGAAATTCGGAAAGCTCGCGGCACAACCCGTGGATGCGAATAATTACAAGATGGAGCAAACTTGAAAAACCTTGGCGAAAAATTTACGATATCTCCTGCTCGTCGTATCTGCCGAGATCGAGTTTATCGGGTGTCGGCGCGGACGGCAATTTTACAGGCTCTTTCTCTCTCTCTCTCTCTCTTTCTCTCTCTCTCTCTCTCTATCTCTCTCTCGTTCCGGTCGTTGTCAAAGCGAACCGTGGCGACGGCGACGGCGACGGCGACGGCGACGACGACGACGACAAAGGGTTGTTGGTCACCCTCACCCTCGCGAGGAAAATAACGCGGAGCAAACTCCTGCCGGAATATTTTACAGCCAGGAAGCATCTTTATCTCGCGGCGCGCTTCCGAGATTGCTTTCTCCGCGAGAGTAATGCCATTTTCGGATCGACGGGAACGTTGCGAGGCGCGAGCGTCCCTTTGACGCGGCAAAGAACGGGTTAAGTGGGTTTCGCTCGCGTTAGGCATCGCCACTTTCGGCCACGTTTTCACCCCTTTATCTCGTACGTAGGTAGTACAATCTACTAGTATCGCCGTCTCCCGTGTGAGAAGTTATCGAAGGGAAGCGATAGGTGTTGCTCGCGAGTCGATCCGGTGTAAAGGTTGAAAGGCGTTCGTGCGAACGAGAATATCTTGGAATAAATGAAATCCTATTTGAACGGTGAATGTGCAAATTAGCAAGCGCTCCGTAACTTTCCTCAACGGTGCCTGGCTTCTTTGAAAATTCCCTATTGTGTTCTAACGCGACGCTAATCTCCGTATACTTTGACGTAAACAAAATTATTATCGCGATCGTTGTTGTGAAAACCGAAGGAACACAGAAAGGACGGCGCGGCGTCGAGTGGTGACTAAGCCGACGAGTTGGCGCTCGCGTCGAAACGCGGCGGGCAGTCACGAGTAATGACTAGAAAACCAGTTCCATCCTGGCGAGATGTTGCGCGATTCCGGTACACGGCTAGCGAATCCTAACCTATCCAAACCCACCGTTCGTCTACGGTGCAACCATACTTTCCTTCCTTTTACCCCCACACGCGCGTCCAATTAATTTCAGTCGCGTACAGAATAGAATTCGGTAATATCTAGTTAAACACTCTATCGCACTCGTACGAATGGGAAACGGTTA